TCAAGAAAATGAAGATACTTATGAAGAAGCGAGTCATTTGTTTCAAGAAAACTTGACGAAAAATAACTGACAATGCTTTAGAAATGTTTTTACATTTAGATGTGGTCTGCAAATTGCGAAGGCGACTATGAGTTTCATGTCATATATTACCTGATTAACTAAATGATTTATTTCTTCCGTCGGAATTGCCCCTGCTTTTAGAATATTTATGATGTTATTCATAGGTATATAATCTAATGTCATAAAAAGCTTATAATAAATGGTGCTACATTTAATAGGTATCCAGCTTTTTCTGCGTGTTGCTTCAGCCCTTTTCTCATTTAAAAAGGATCCGGCTGGATACTAAAAAAATCAATACAAAAACTGCACATGTGAATCATGCCTGTCATAAAACTAAGAACTCAAGCCGATGAAGGTGACGCATAGTAAGCAAGTAGGGAGATACAAAATTCAAATTCAAAATCATACAGACGAGGAAAAGAAAATCTCCATTCTCATGAAGTCTTCATTTCATACTTCGCATGGTAAAATTATCGATACTGTACCCCTCCTACCCACATATCTTTTTTTTTATTAATATATCGTCTTTACATTGAAAATAAAAAACAACAATAAAAAAAAGTTAAATTGATTTTTACTAACTGCAGGTAACAATACCCGTGTTATTGTGAGCGTTGGGACTAAACCATTAATAATAAATAATCAAAATTGTAAGCCTTAAATACCTGTGTAAATAATGTGTCTTCACACTGGTAACGCTTTAATAAAAAAAATGTTTAACTAATCCTAACCCGGGTTTTTCAATACAGAGTTTCTACTTATCCATAATTTGATTACAACGCGCGGATCCAGTACCAAATACCTAGTGCAAGCAATTCATTGAGCGTTATTAGAATTATTCTTTTGACGGCGGCAATGGCTGGCAAGCAATATATATTGTTATGACCATATTATAATAACATATTCGTGTTTCGAAATATTATTAACGCATTGTTCAAAAAATTTAGGAAATACAGAGTTTCTGTACTTACCCATGAAATGAAATCACTCCCTGAGTATTTTTAAACTTTGTCTTCCTAAGCGATATGATATAATGGCATATTTCTATTTTCTTTTTCACAAAACAATCTATTTATACATTTGAACGACAACTGAGGCGCTGTCGACACTTAAGGGGACCTTCGGCTCAAGAGCTAGGTAACGCGGGCCCCGCCCTCTAACCTGTCCTATTACTAGTATTTATTTGGTTTGTTTTATATTCATATCGAGTTCTTAGGTTTTCGCGATTGTTACACATAGGAAATGAAACTATTTTTCCGGATTTAAATCGCGTATATTTGTTTTTTCAAACAAACCGACGTTTCGGGCCCTGTACAGGTCCCATGGTCACGGTTGGTGGTACAGTTTTCAACCAGTTATGTCTAATATTAATGCAAACCACCCTATTTTTTCCACTATAGTTACAATAGTTATTAATTAAATAACAACAGTCAACCGTGACCATGGGACCTGTAAAGGGCCCGAAACGTCGGTTTGTTTGAAAAAACAAATATACGCGATTTAAATCCGGAAAAATAGTTTCATTTCCTATTTGTTTTATATTATTTATTCACATCTATCTCCGTCAAAAAAGATATTGCTCTTATTAAGCACCAGTTGTAAAGCCTGCAAATTGCGAAACTTTCATGGATTAACCTACATATTCGATTAAGTTTGGTAAACCTTAGGCCCTTGTCAAAGAAGTTCGTTTTCTACCCAGACGCTAGGAGAGCCATTTTAACAGGGGGAATGGTTTTGTTGTTGTTGTGCCACCAGTTTATGATCCACTATTTCCTGTTGAAAATTCCCAAGCAAACTTCAATGAAACTTATTAATATATTTATTTTATTTCAGATTTCCTTTTGATTATCAAATTTAATTTAGTAAAAATTCATGTTGTTAAAATAAAATGTTTTACAAAACGGTCGTAGCGTAAATTGGGATGTTTTTTTTTCGTTTAATAGAATAACTAAACTGTAACTATACTGAACTTGTAACTCTAAACTGTAACTATACTGAACTTGGCGTTAATACCTTTGCGTTAATATAGATGAAGCTGGTTGATGACTTTACGACCTCATTCAGTTGTGACCGTAGGACCTGTAATGGGCTCGTAACTTTTGTTGGTTTGAATAAACAAATACACGTGATTCAGATCCGAAAAACTAGTTTCATTTTTAATTGTTACATTGTTTATCATACCCATATTTAGAACACTGAGTAAGTTTAAAATAATATTTGTTTTAAGCTTTTGTTTTGTAAGGTACTTTAAACGTAGCCTGAAACGAAGTCGGCTGTATGAATATTTCTCGATTTACTAAGGTTAATTGCTATTTCCAATTCAAATATATACAAATTCTGTCAACTAAAGATCTTGATAGATAAGATTGACGAATCGATAGGGCACTGATTACCAACCAAAAATATTTTAGTCAATCTGAAGGTCAAACTGAGTTTTATTGATGAAATTGACAACGTTTTGACAAACAAATTACTCAAGTTTGTTATAATTATTAATACAAAGATCAAACACTAAGAAAAAATTCCTTCGATCCGGCCGGATTCGAACCGACGTCTTCTAGCTTACCGTGCCAGACGCTATACCAACTAAGCAACGGAATGAACCAGCGGACCTCACGAATTTTTCTATGTGCTTGCGTCGTGTCTTTGTATTTGGTTTTTCAACGATTTTTTAGTCATAGCGCCATCTATGAGAAATCTATGAAAAATTTATCACCCAATTAGTACCTTTACAGCTACCAGCCCTGGAGAGAGATATCGCTATTCGCTGTATTTTAAATTTTTAACTACTAGTTTGTTATAATTATTAATACAAAGATCGAACACTCAGAAAAATTCCTTCGATCCGGCCGTATTTGAACCGACGTCTTCTAGCTTACCGTGCTAGACGCTATACCAACTATGCTTAGTTGGTATAGCGATCTTTGTGTTAATAATTATAACAAACTAGTGGAGTGATTTCACAAAAAATAATTGAATATTAGTTCAATAAAAATTTAAAATTACTCAAGGTAGGTAAAAATAGGTGTTCTTTATTATATCAATTACACTATAGGAAAATGTTTTAGGAACTTTTGGAAGGAAATTTGAACAGCCCTACTTGAAAATGAAATTTGAAGATTTTACAGGTGTTACAGTGCGGAATACCTACCACTTAGAGAATTGGTTTATTTTTCTTGTTTTGTGCTTATATATTTATTCTTTTTTTTTTTGAATGCATGCTTTTTTGTTAGTCAGGATTTCACACTTCACATTGCTTTACTTTTTTGCTTTCTTTCTTTTTTCTTGTACTTAGTAGGTACTTTCGTGTTTGTTTTTTCTGTTTGAGGTGTTAAATTTTATCATAATTTAGATATTGGAAAATGATAATATAGACAACTGTAGTTGGCGCTGACTAGCTTTACTTAGAAATATTCATTGTAAATCGTTATTTATAGTTATTGTTGTTCCGAATAAAATGAAATTATAAAAAAAAGTAACTTGAACCTTCATACGACCAAAAAAAATGTAGTCGCTGGAAACTGAAATCACTAAAAGACAACCGGGCTCACCCAAGGCTTCCGCTGGAACCGTTCAAACAGACATGGAGACGCAAAGGTACCCGGACTAGGAGGGTTGACCTCAAAAGAAATAGGACATAAGGCCAGGACGAAGAATAAGAATTTTATTAGAGGAGAGATTTTCATTTAGTCGCAACACAAAGTTTACAATCATACAACAATAATTGTAACCAAAATTTGTGAAATGTGAACAAATTCACGGCTCGCTCATAACTTGTAGTCATTGTTCTGATATTAAGATGCAATTAACCTTGTTTACTCGAAGGTAAATTTAGTGTAAACACAGCTTTGTTGCGTCCGCCACAAATGATTGATGTTGAACTATATATCACTGATTAACAATAGTTGTAGAATATATTTACTATTGTAATTACTTCAACATATCAATTGTGTGGGTGTTCTTATTTCATTTCATTTAGGTACATAATTTTACATATAGAGAGAATGATTTAAAGGAGATTGACGAAACAGATTTATGAAACGACGTCATTAAGGGCTGACCAAGGTGAACTTACCATGACCGAATTAAGGCCATTGATTAACAGACGCCGTGGTCGTGCACAAAATTTTGAAGGGCCGGTGTATAATTTACCATACAAATATTTCACCTTGCAGTATTGACTCATAAAATTGACTACAGCTCAAACATT